TCGCTGACTTTTGTTCGCATTACGCATTCGCCTCGTTAGCCAAGCACTTGAAAGCATTTACCAATTAGCCAAACCTTTGAATGCACAAAAGACCCGACACCTTTTAACACCTGAAAGAATTTAATTAATGCAGCTACCGGAGTAGCTTTCCCTTCCTTTTTCTATCTTCTTTGCAAATTAAAAACAACGAAATGAGTAAGCAACTAAAGTAGGGTAAAAAGGGTGTGGATATAAAATGGTAAAGGTGCATCCTTCAGCTATGTGAATTCTTAAATAGATTTTAAAGATTTTAAATTAGAATTGCTTTACTTAAATTCCAGAAAAGTAATTAAATGAGAGTGTTCTTAGGAACAAAATAAGGCCCAGGCAACAGAGCAACAAACAAAAATGTTTGAGCAAAAATGAATTTTATTAAAAACTAAAATTGCAATATGTGCAAAGTTTTCAGAAAGGGATTCTTTTGGAAATTAAGTGAAATATGAGTTGGATTTAGCTTACAAATGAAACATTTCTGTTGAAGATGATTTAAAATATTAATAATAATAAGCCAAAGAAAAGCATTTTTATTAATAAAGAAACTGTGTAAATTAGCAAAGAGACTGTATTTAATTGAAAAGAATTACAGCTTTTACCCCCAACTTTTTTTGTGTATAAATTTTGACACCTTTCTCAGCTTTCTACCCGAAAATCCCCTCAGCCAAATTGCAGGCTTGGCAACAAGCAAAGGATTTTTTTTCTATATATACATATATATATATGACGATGGTATGAGAATGTGTCTGTGTGTGTAGGTGTCTCAGAAATCCGCCAGGATCCGCTTAGCAGCAATTATCTTCATTACGCGAGGCGCGCACAAAAGTATGCAAGGGCCAAAGAGGAGGCGGCAAAGCCAAAGGAAAATCTGACAATTAGGAGGAGCATCCAGCACAGCCTTAAGCTGGGGGATACAGAAAAACACCTTTAACCTTTTGCCTCGCATATAAATACGCTGTTGATGGATGTGTTTTGAGTGGCGACCAAAAAAAAAAAAAACAGGGAGGTTGGGAGGGGGAGACCAGGGAGTGGCTTCCTGTTTTTCGGGCTTCTTTTGAGTCGACTTGTCGCCACCGCCACCGCCACGTTCTGTTGTTATTCAGGTGGCCTGAAATGGTATGGCGGCGGTGTCTAAACGATTTATAAAAGCCAAAACAGTCGGAGGAGGAGTGGGAGCCAGGAGCAAGGAGCAAGGAGCAAGGAGCCAGGAGCAGTACCGGGTGAATGGCACAAAAAGTGTTGCAAGCAATTTGCGCAATGGCAGAGCGAGCGTTGCCTTGCCAAAATCCTCTTCAGTAACCTTTCACCTCCCCCGCCTGAGAGAGAGTACAAAAGCAGGTAAGCCCCCTGTCCTTTATCCCCCCCTCACCCAACCCCTTTTCATCTCGGAAAAACTCGCAACATTATTGAGTGCGTGCGTGGGCCAAAAACTTGCTGCCATTTTGCACGTAACTGACATCAGCGCGCTTATAAATCAACTTGCAAATGTCCCAGAGCCTGGGTCTGTGTGTGTGTGTGAGAGAGAGTGTTGGCGTTTTTAATACCCAACACTTGACGAAAATAAGGGGTAGATTTGGTTTTATAATTAAGTAAATTATTTATGGTGGGAAAATATATGAAATTATAAAGGAAATACAAAGAATATATTGAGGAAATGGAGCTTAAAAAAATGTATTTATCCTGCTAAAGTTAACCTTAAATTATGAATCTGTTTAAATTTGTTAATTAAATTTTTTTAAATATATTTTTTTGAATCTAAAATTAACGATGTAAAGATACACTTTTTAGTAAAACAAATTATATGTATTTTATAAAGAGAGCTTTATACAATACATTAAATATTTTGCTAAAAGTTGCCTTTAATTATAAATCCTATAAAATATGTTACTGCAATTTTTTTTAATATTTTTTTTTAACCTAAAATTAACTATATAAGACCCTTTTTTAGAATAAAATATATGTATTTTATAAAATAATTGCAACCCAAATATAAAAACGAAATAAAGTTGCCTAGAACTTATCTTAAAATATACAGAGTAAAGGCTTCTCTAATATATTATTTATATATCCAGATATCTTTATCCATTTCTCCACATCTTTAGTTATATATTACTTTATTACTATATTCCCTATATTATTTTGTTCAATATTCTTTCCTAGGTATTTTTCCGTCTGTTAACTCTGTCAAAGAGCTTCTTTCTTGTTCATTTTTTTTTGTTGTTGTTCCTTTTTTAGAGGCCAAATCCCAGGCAACATTTTTGAGTTCATGATTTTTGGTACTCTGGTAAAAAAAAAATAATAATAAGGAAGGGGAACGGAGATGAGCAGACAGACGAAACTCATATGATTAGATTAATGCGTTGTCTAATGGCCTCAGCCAGCCTCGGCCTCATCTTCAGCCTCATTCTGGCTTCTCCTCAACTCGACATTCATTTCACACATTGTGCGTGTCGTCGTCGCTGTGGGTTAGGTAAATCGTAATATCATTTTTATAAACATCTTGTTAACCCGGAGGGTCCTAAATTTGTTTCTTTTTTTACATTTTTTCATACACTTTTTTGTTAAGGCAAAAAGGAAGTCGCAGGCCATAACTCAGGGCTGAAAATATGATTTGCGGGTCAAGAGGGTATGGCAGTGAGTGATTATCCGGGGGCTTGGAGAATGGATTATGGGCAATTTCGGAGTCAGAAGACCAGAGTTTGGGTTGCCTTTCGTGGTAATCACTTGGGTCAGGCGACTTAACTTGGGCTTAAGTCCTGCAGAAAGGGAGCTCAAATAGTAGTATGCAGAGTTCATAATAATATTATTACATTTTAATGAAAAACTGATACTAAAAACCCCTTTCAACTTTATAATGAAGTATTTAGAGACGATTCTGTTTCACTTAACTCTTTATATATTGATAGTCTAAACTATTTATTTACTGCCCTATTTTGTAATGCAAAAGTTGATCTATCAACTTTGAAACCACGAAACAATTTGTGTTTACATAATATGAACACAAAAATGTCATTTAAAATAGAAAATACTAATAGACAAATTGTTTTTGTTGTTAACTCGTTTGCCAAACTTTGACATATTTTGTTATTATTATTGCAAGCCATAGACCAATAAAAAAAGTAAATATTAAAACCAAACAAAAAGGAATGCTGCAGGGAAATAGCGTTGAGCTTAATTAATTGGAATTTTGTGAAACATATTTATAAATATTTATATTTTCCTGTACTTGAAGTTGTATTATTATATTTGTTAATTACCTATTCAATTTGGGAATATATTCTTCTTTTTATATACAATTTTAATCATTTTAAATATAGAAAAGAAATAGTCGTGAATCTTGAGACACACAATTAATGATATAAATGATATAAAAGCTATTTCATAAATAGTTTATATTCTAAGCTAACAAAAATCAAGAGAACTATTAACATGTAATTAGTTTCTAAAGTGTACCTCAACATTTTTTTAAATTGGAATTTAGAGGCTAATTTCGGAGGTTATTTATAAGTAATTGCAATACTTCCTAATGGAAAAACTAATCCCAAAAGTGTTTCTATATGTGCTAGAGTATATATATATCTTTAGTTTAGCTGTATAAAATATTAATTTCGATATTCGCTGTGATGGCAATAACTCCTTTCAGGATAACCGGCGGCGACAGTGTTGCACAACGCGATCTAAGCGCAGTGTCTGTCAAAATGTTGCCCAAATTGGCTGACTTTTGACATTCTGACCTGGACACGTAACGCGTGACTTGCCCCACCCCCCGTCGCTTTTCTTAGCCAACTTTTCCCCTGCCTTGTCCCCCTTACGGGGGAGTGTGTGTCACTTTCTGTAGTTTCGGTCTGAACGTGTGATTTATGATCCTTTGGGTCTGCTCGCACAGTGTCTGTGTTGGTAAATTACTTTTGCACACACACACACGCAAGCAGGGTTCCCTTTTTTTCTTATTTTTTTCTCCCTTTGGTTAGAATTCAATCGCTGGGAAAACTTTAAGTGATTTTCGCATTTAAACAATATGGCTTAAAGTGGCGGAGTCATAACCTTTGAGCCTTTACACACCATCCTTTATTTTTGCCATTAGGCGCGGCAAAAGGAGGCTTGTTGCTCCTCAGCAAGTCACTTAGACCGCTTTCTTTGACCTTATCCTGTCATATAATATATACAGGATATATATATATATATATATGTATATATATTCTGTATGTATGTTGGTTCTGTTTTATGCCAGCGCACTGTGCGTGGGTCATTTAAATGCTACATTATGTTGAATATTCAATTTAATGTGTCTTATAAATCATGTAGGTCCTTGAGGTCCTCGAGTCCTGTCTGTGTGGGGTTGTCTCTGTTTTGTCGCACTTTCCGGAATGTTTTCCATCTTGTGCCTGCATAGTTTTCACCAGTTGGAGTTACTTAGTTGAAGCAGGATCCTTTATTCATTAGAGTATGCCCCATTGAAGTCCTGATTTAGAGTTGGGTTTTTGCCTACTTGATTTGTTAAATATACTTATTTATAAAGCTTGTATGTATATATTTTTTTCAGAATTTTGTGATCTACATTGGCTTGTACAAAATCTACGTTTCCTTTTGGATCCCTGTGTCATTTGCTGACTACTTTTAATCGGTAAGTCCTATGGCTGTAAAAGCTTCATACTTTGAAATATTTTTTAAAAATATTAAGAGAGATAAGGAAAAACAACTTCATATACCTAAGAACACCTACCTTAACCTACACACACTTCTATATTATAAACCATCACCATAAGTGGACAATAGCAAATATTAGTTGACATCTCCTAAGACTGGAAATGTTTTTTTTTTTTTTTAACAAATGTTCCACTTAAACATAAACAATTACAGACACAACCACATACCTTTATATCTTCACACCTTTGTACAAACACACTCATAAACACACACAACTATAAAGCAGCCACAAAAACAAACAATTTTTGATGTTTACTAACCGTTTTTGGCCGCCTTGATTGGGTTTCTTGGCTGATTATCTCTCTGATTTTCCGATTTGATTTTTTTAAGCTTTTAGCTCTTTATTTATTCCTTTTGTTTTATTTTGTTTGGTTTTTTTTTGTATTTCTTCACACTTAAGTGGGCAAATTTTTCATTTTATGCGCATTTGTTGCATTCACTTCGTTATTGAGATTTTGTATCAACACCAACTTTCACCCACAGTGTGTGTTGTGTGCCGGCTTAACATAACAAACACAAAAAAAAAAATAGGAGAGAACAACAAATACGGAAAAACGGGAAAACGAAAAGCGTTTGGAAAATGTTAAAGAAAAATACGCGAACTTTAAAGTTTAAACTTTTCGATTTATTCGTCACTTTGCGTTAATGGCTGTAATTATCGGCACGCGATCACTAGCAGGACCTCTCTCAGGGGACACGTCGCGAATGGTCGTGGTCTCTCGTCCTTCGTCCTTGGTCGGCACTGGCACAGTAGTGTGTGATTTGAGCCTGGCCTCTGAAGTTGGCCAAAATCGAAGCTAAGTTCGTCCAACACGAGCCACCGGCTGACAACAAACGGCGGCAGAGTTCAACGTGAGACTGAATGCCGCACGGGGAAAATCCTCGTAGTGTTCGTTGCCTCGGCTAGCAGCCATCGGCGAGTGGTGAGTTTTCCTCAACAGTTTTCCCACACGACCCACTGTGGTGAAAAGAGAGAGAGAGCCAACGACCTTGGCTCGCTCTTTGCCAGCTGTTGATTTTTCTCTTTCGCCCATTCTCTAATCGCTTATGGCCATCGAAGCGGCCATAATTGCCAAGAGGTTTTTCGGGGGTAAAGTAAAGGGGTTTTTCTTCTTTTTTTTTTTGGGAGAGGTAGCGGGGGTCTGTCACCTGGCTGGCATTTTCAGGCTCGCAAACCAGACAAGGACTCCATTGCAGCAGCGGAAATGAGACTCCCGATGACGTGGATTAGCCAAAGGGCTTTGAAAAGTCTGCGTCGTTAAGCGGAAAATGCAGTTTCCCCAAATGAATGGGCATTTTTCCAGACTTGTAATTGAAATGAAACAATAGTTGTATTTAAGTTTCAAGGTGTTTAAGGTTTTCTTTATAAAAATAACAAAACAATATTGTTTTTCCTATAATTTGTAAATTAAATTTAAAGTTTTCAAGAACATTACCTTATATATAAACAGTTTTTTAATATACAGATAAAATTACTACTGTTCAGATTTTTTTGAACTTTTTCTTTGCGAGTTAATGGATATAATTCTTATAAATTTTTAATATATTTGTACGTAAGTTTCAAGGTGCTTAAGGTGGTCTTTATTAAAATAATTATTATTTATTAATAATTTATTTATTATTTAATTTATAAATGAAATTTAAAGTTTTCAAGAACATTCACTTTTATTTAAACAGTTTTATAATGTATAGATAAAACTAATACTGTTCAGAGTTTATTAAAAGATTTCTTTTGTGAGTTAATGGATATAATTCTTATAAATTCTTAATATATTCAGAATCTAACATCTTAAATTCTTATATTTAAATGAAAATTGAGCAAACTAGGCTAAGGAAAATCCATTGAAATCCACATAATATGATATATTTAGTATCTAAGCTTAAATTCTTATGTTTAAATGAAAATAGAGGAAACTATTCTATGGAATATCCATTGTCATTCACAAACACATTCATACTTCTCTTTAATTTCATCTCAGAAAACCAGCAGAAACACATACACACCCGGAGTAATCCCAAGTAGATCCCAATGATTAATTGTTGTGCCTGGTATAACATCTGAAATAATTACAATTTATTCTTTAATGAGCGTATCCATCGAAGCGAAAATTTGCCATCCAAGTGGATAAGTTTTCCTAATTTAATTGCCAACTTAAAGCGGAATATTCTGGGCATCCGGGCAATTTAGATGTGTCGCAGATATATACTTTCCTATCTGTTGCATCTGGGGCTAAAGTTGAGACAAGAAATTATGCTAATTGGCCAACACAGACACACAGAGACACACAACTTTGACTGACACGACTCTTTAACTTAACCCCAACCATCCGGTCCATCCTGAAGCCTGAGTCCCAAAGTCTTCAATTCTGAATCCTCCATCCTGAGAATCCTGAATCCTCCTCCATCTTCAATTCTGTATCCTTTAGAGCCTTTAGAGCGAAAGGTGGCGAAGTGGGCAAGTCATGTGTTATACATCACTTGATTAGGCATTAAATAAATGCTCTGACAAGTTTACACTCAATTACATGAAGTTGAGCACCCCGGAAAATGGAAAATGCGAACTGTGAACTGCAAAGTTGGGGGGAGTTGGCTGTTAACTCCCAATTACTGAACTGTGAGAATTTAATTGCAAAAGCGAGCAAATGTCAGTATATCCCTTCATATGTATATATTTCTTTTAAAAAATTGAATTGAGTTTAAGATAATTCAATTGAAAGTTCCTTTTTTTAAGACATTAAAACGTCCCCAAAATGGTTGAGATATTTAAATGACAAAAAAGTTGAGTTTTGTTATTAAATAATAATGGTAAATATATATTTATATATTCCCCAAGAGAGTTGTAACTAGAGTATCAATTAAATACCTTCAAGGTATTTATTATTATTTTTTTAAGGGGTTGCTTGCAAATTGCATATTTCCTCTATATTTTTTCTCCTGTTTCCCCAATGTTTTTCTTTGGTTTTCCTTTGCCATCTATATACATAGGTTTTTTTCCCCCTCATATATTTTTCTCTACATTTTCCCAAGGCATCATCATCATCTTGGCTTGCAGGCTTAATTGAGAAAGGAGATTTGATTAATTTGCATGCCATAAACAATTTGCAATTTGTTTATACTCTCAAAGTGCGGAAGAGGCGGGGGGGCATCGTAATTAAAGCAAAGCCTGCCTGCCTGCCAAGCTAAGCAACTTTTTCCCTCCTGCAGCAAGGATTTTCCATTTTCCAAGCGGAGGTGAAGACGAAGGCGGATCGAGGCATCTCTGAATGTAAAAAGAAATGTCACCAAGGCAAGGTAAGCAGATTAAGGCCTTCTTTGACTTGCCAATGCAATTCAAGTCTCCTTTTTCGCCTCCTTTCGGCATGCAAATGATGATGGCTCAGCCGGGGCTCAGGGTGCAGTCGAGCGATGCGTTGGTGGAAAAGCGGTGGAAAGTCGAGCAAAAGCAACGACAGGGGGTGGCGGCGGTTGTGGAATGCTGAATGTGTTTGCAAATATTTACTCAATGTATTCATGTGCAAACAATTACGCGTTCATTTGTGCGACTTTCGAGTGGCGAACAACAATGATGTTGTAGATGAAGATGACGCTGCAGACGAGGACGACTGGTGACAATGGCTGCCGAAATGAGAGTTCCTTTGGCTGGCGTTCCCCCCTGCCTCCCTCTTTTCCATTTCCATTTTCCACCCCACCCTCACCTCATGCCGCCTTTTGTTTCGTTTTGCCTACTCACATATGCATAATATCCTTGACCTGTTTGCCTTGCTTGCGCTTTTGTGCGTGTCCCCTGCCGCCGCTGAAGGACTCTCACTTGCTCCTCTCCTTCGCTCACTCACTCACTGACTTCTGCAGGACGAAGAACTCCTCTTGGCCATTTGATATGCAAAAATAATCCCTTCAGCTAATGGCCGGACTAAAACAACACACACTTGCTCACTCGCATGCATTTGTCATTCTCTTTAGGGAGGACCGAGAAACTGAGTAACAAGCTTCAGTGCGTTTTTTGCAAATTAAAAAAATTTAAATGAAAGGACCAAGGAATCCAAAAATGCATCAATTTAAAAGGGAAATCAAGGGTTTAAAAATATCATAACTACGCCAAAAATGCATTAATTTCAATTCGGAAAGCAGTTCTGTGCTAGTTTTGAGAAGGTTAATAAGTCTGTATTTAAATTGTAAAACCAAAAAAAAAACACATTTTGGAAAATTTTAACGATGTAAACCCACTTCTTTTTTTTTTAATGGGATATTTAAAAAAAAAATCGTTTTTTCCCGATAAAGCTTGAAAGATTCGCCTGTTGATGCTGATCAAGAATATATATGATTTATAGGGTCGGAAACGACTCCTTCACATTCTTTAAGCTTCTGACTGAAGGTCCAATACCATTTTTAGCCGACATTAACTATACTTTTACATGCAATTTATTTCGACAAATCAAAATTTAAAAAATTCATAACTTCGCCAAAAACGCATTAATTTCAATTCGGAAAGCGCTCTTATGTTTATTTTTAGCAGGTTTACAAAACTGCATACTCCATTTGAAATGTTAATTTTTGCCCGATTTTTGCAAATTTTCATGATGTAACCCCTTTCCTAAAAAAAAATGGGAAATTTGTAAAAAAAAAAAATTTTCGGCCGGAGATTGCTAGAAAGATTCGCCTGTTATTGCTGATCAAGAATATATATGATTTATAGGGTCGGAAATAACTCCTACACTTAGTTTTAATCTTCCGACTGAAATCATTATTCCACCAAATCAAAAACTATAGTAATTATTAAAAAAAATAATTGTTTAATTATTTAATATTGACTCAAATTTAATTCCAATGTCCGTCTGCTTAAGTGACTTCCTATAATCTTAGATTCCTCATCAAAAATCGTACTCATCTTTGCTCGTTTCATTTGTCTCGGTTTTTTGTGTGTGTGAATTTAACGCTCTGTTGTTGTGCGTTTGACCGAAACAATGAAACAGAGTCCCTGCCATTTTTCCTGCCATTTTCCTTGCTCCATCCGCACACCCTTCTCTCATCCTTCCACAAACTTTTCCATCTGTCTTGGCCCCCAAAAGTTTTCCACCTCCCCCCATCTTCGTTTACTTGCATATCGAGTTGCTGCTTTCCCAGCAGCAGCTCCCATTTCCTTTAATCGTCTGTCCAAGTGTCAGTCCGTTTTGTTTGATTGATTTTTACACCCTTGGCCCATGGTTAGTTCAACGTGGGAAAAATTCAATTTGGAAATGGAGAAAAACACCGAGAAGCATCAAGCATTTTTCCCCAATGGAAATCTATGGTTGTTACTCTTAAAGTAGGAGAATTAAATGCTTGTAATACATATTTTTG